GTGGCTGCCAAGATTCCTAGGGGGCAGGTGTAGGGACGGCACCTGTCTCCGTCTGGTGTGGCCCTCCAAAAATGGCCTATTGCAAAGTCCAGAGCCATCTGGGAATTGGTCATTATTATTTTGTAGTTTCAGTGGACTCAAAGAGTAGCTCTGTATAATCCACACATTTGTATGTCATGACATACATCTTAGTTTTCCTGAAAACTAGAGAATCTTAAAGTAATACAAATGACCGACTGTCAGCTTTTAAAATAGCACAGATTGAATAGTATGGTTATAAAATTCCAAAAGTCACTTGTACCACTTGTAACTTTGTTTCTTCAGTTCTCTTTCCCCTTTTTAAAAAAGTTTCTTTTTACTGTTTTTGCAGATTGTAGCTCAATAATAGAGAGTTGTATTTCTTTTCTTTTTCTTGAGTGAGGAATTTGAATGATGTTTCATAATTGTATTCAAAGGGCCCGCTCAAGCAAATCAGTGAACAACCGGAAGACAGTGGACAGTGACAGTGACAATTCAAAGTTGTACAGAAGCTTTATAATTAAAGTTAGACTTTAGGCTATATAATTATCATTTGGTTTTTTAATAATTTCTTTTATATACAGTTTGGACAATTTATGTATATATCTTCAAGTTACTATTTTCTTCAATTGTGTTACTGGGTTTATTCCTTTAATTTTGTTGAGAGCTTCTATTTGTCAGTAGCGGAACAGTACATTCTGTAGCATATTTCAAATGTAATTTCTTTAGTTTTTCTGTGTTATTGGTTTTATCCAAAATTTCTAGAAACACTCTGAAACAAACAGATTTTCTTCTTTTTATTCACCAGAGACTTTTTTTGTCTGTGATATAATTTCCTATAACTTTTTGTACCTTAATTCCTAATTAAGCATGGCATCAAGGATACTAGTCGTCTTTCTGACTACCATTTTCTTATAGTCATTACTGTTGATAAGTTTTTTTAATTTCCTATTTCTTTATTCTTTCTTCTTGCTGTTGTAAACATCACTTTCATAATGAAGTGACATTGGTTTTAATGATTTTATTTGGGTTGTTTTTATAAAGCTATCTGTCAAATATTTAAATATTTTAGAGTTACTAATTTGGCGTATTGTTGAGAATCTCAGGAGATACAGTTTTCCCCTTGTACTCAGATTGACAGTGTTCTTCATAATTGGCTAGTTAATGACTTTGTTTCTTACCCTCTCTTATAGACAATTATGTAAATAACTATTAGCTTTGTCTTTTTGCTTTTTTATCTTTAAAAAATTATTTTAGAATTTTATTCATTATAGGGTGAAATTATATGAATTATATAATTTATATACAAATTGGGCTGGAGCAATAGCACAGCGGTAGGGCGTTTGCCTTGCACGCAGCCAACATGGCTGACCCGAGTTTGATTCCTCTGCCCCTCTCAGAGAGCCCGCAAGCTACCGAGAGTATCTCGCCCGCACGGCAGAGCCTGGCAAGCTCCCCGTGAGGTATTCGATATGCCAAACACAGTAACAAGTCTCATGATGGAGACATTACTGGGCCCGCTCGAGCAAATCGATGAACAACGGGAGGACCGTGGTACAAATTATTTTATAATTTCATTCATTATATACCACAGCGGGTAGGGCATTTGCCTTGCATGCGGCCAACCCCGGTTCGATTCCTCTATTCCTCTTAGAGAGCCCGGCAAGCTACTGAGAGTATCTCGCTTGCATGGCAGAGCCTGGCAAGCTACCCGTGGCGTTCTCGATATGCCAAAAACAGTAACAAGAAGTCTCACAATGAAGATGTTACTGGTGCTCACTTGAGCAAATCGATGAGCAATGTAATGACAGTAACAGTGACAGATTAATTATTTTATCTTATTATTTTTAAATATTTATTAATTGAATTACAGTGAGATACACAGTGACAAAGCTGTTTATTATTGGGTTTCAGTCATATATTTCAACATCCATCCCTTCACTAGTGTACCTTTGCTATCACCAATGTTCCCAGTTTCTCTCCTGCCCCCCTCCCCATCCTCTATGGCAGGTACTCTCTCTCTCTCTCTCTTTCTCCTTTTAGACATTATGGTTTGCAATACAGATACTGAAAGGTTGTCGTGTATATCTCTTTGCCTACTTTCAACACCCAGTTCCAGAGTGAACAAATCAAGATTGTACTAACTTTCACCTTGTTGAAAAAGCAAAACAAAGTCATTATTTTAAAACATCAGGTGATTGTTTCAAACTTTTATTTTAAGTTTTTCTCAGTAATTCTTTGACTCAGTAGTAATAAAGCCATGTTTCTGAACTCTGGATCTGAATCATTGTGTAATAAAGTACATTCCTCAAAATTCCTATACCATAACTTTTTCTATAGTCAACTCTAGAAAACCTTATGAAACATGCTTAGAATTAAACAGTAGACATTAAAGGAAACTAGGTGTGTTTAGAAGGATTCCAGGAAATGTGGAGAATACAACTTTCTGCCCCAAGATAGTAAGCTTCTGTTTTTGTAAAATATTTCCATTTGTATTACTGGTGACAAGTGAGACAACGATTCTTAAGGCCCACCTTGTCATTAGCTTACAGAAATTTGTTTCAGTCCACTTCTTCCCTTATATTCTTGGTATTGGAAAATGACGGAAGCTGCATAACTTGGGGCTTTATAAAATGAACCTTATTTCACTCATTAATCAATACTAATGGGTATTGGGATTCTACAAAGAATCAGAACTATTAGGATGTGTATATATACTCATATAAATAGTTTATTATAGGAATTTCCTCATATCTTGTAAAGTCTGTCAAACAAAAAATCTGAAAATATCAGGCTAAAGACCAAAGGCAACTGGTTCTCAGCATAAGTTCAAAGGCTGTCTCAACTGATATTCAAAGTCCAAAGACGGTCTGCTGGGAAATTTTCTCTTGCATGGGGGAGCCAGACTTTGTGCCCTATTTAGGTTTCACATTGATCAAGTGAGGTTCATCCATATTACTGCCAGCTCTCTGCTTCACTCAAACTGACTGTTTAATTCTGAACTAGAACCCAAACACCCTTAGAGAAATACCCATAATAATGTATGGCCAAATGTATGACACCCTGCAGCCAAGCCAAGTGTACATAGAATCACTGGAGTATCTAAGGAACTTTTAATTCTAATTATAAAACTTTGGTTAAGTGTGATAGCTTACAGACTAACTATTTATCCTGGCCAATGCCAGTAACTGTCTCAGCCAAGTTTAGAAGGCAGGCATGCATTAATTCATTCAGCAATTCTTTATTGGGCACTAGGCATTGTGTTATATGAGGATTTAAATTGTATTCTGAAAGCAGTGGGAAGCTTTCTGAAGTTTTTAAACTGAGATTTCTGATTTGCATTTAAAAAGATCACTTTGGCTATGATATGAAAAAGGTTTTTAACAGGGTAAGCATGGATATGAATATGATATCGATGAGGATGTTCTTCTAATAATCAGGCAATTACTTTTGACTGGTTTAAACTGGGTTGATGGTGATAAATAAACGTATTCAGAAAAGTGTTAAAATATGTTGCTAACAGTTACCAGAAACTCATTTTCTAAAATGCACAGCTATATAACATCAAGCATTCATGATCCTCGAATTTTTAATTTGCCTCAGACAAAATAAAATGGGAATACTGTGAAATACTAAAGCAATCACCACATAATTTTTAAAAAGTCAGTGAAATGGTAAAAGGTCATAAATCCACCTATTTTCCTCTTATGAATCTGGAATTAATTAACTTGTAAGAAATGGAAAGAACATTAAAAACAAAACAATGATCTCTTAAATGGGGGTGGCCTATTCTAATACTTGCAGTTTGCAGTTGAGTCTTCAGCTGCAAACCTTTCATCTCTGGTCTGACCCTCTCTGGTCTGCCTGAAAAGTTTCTATTTGCATACCTAATTTTTATTTTTCTGGAAGTTCTTGCTCTAGTTAGATACATTCATTCTGTACATGTGTGATCAGATTGATATCACTAGGTAGCACTGTCCATTGATTTGCTCGAGTGAGCACCAGTAATGTCTCCATTGTGAGACTTGTTATTACTGTTTTTGGCATATCGAATACCTCATGGGTAGCTTGCCAGGCTTTGCCATGCAGGCTGGATAGTCTCGGTAGCTTGCTGGGCTCTCTGAGAGGGGCAGAGGAATTGAACTCGGGTTGGCTGTGTGCAAGGCAAACACCCTACCCGCTGTGCTATCGCTCCAGCCCAAAAGTTTAATCGTTATTTTATAAGATTTTGAACAAGGATATATTTATCTCGCAATAAGAAAAAATTAGATCTTTTATCTATGTACATACTTACTTTAAAAAGCAAATTTTTTTAACTAAGTATTTTTTTTTAATTCTAAAAGTTGTTTGTTTTGTTTTGGGTTCACACCCAGTGGTGTTCTGGCTCTGTGCTTAGGGATCACTCCTGGCAGTGCTTGGGGAACCATATGAGGGTGGTGGGGATCAAACCCTGGTTGGCAGCATTCAAGGTAAGTACCCTACCAGCTGTGCTATCGTTTGGCCCTCATGTGGTGTTTTATACTGTGATTATATTTGTCAACTTATCTCTCTCAATATCCTGTAGTGACCTGGGCACATAGAACATATTTATCTTTGTGTCTTTATTAACCAATAAAGTTTAAACATTTACTGAGCACATATTTTGTGTGTTAGCAGTTTAAGTCTTTCCAACTATTTGCTCTGAAAATTCCATAAAGATAGGGAATACATTTTTTGAATGAGAGTATTAATGTTACTTACCTATAAGTGAGTATGACTTTGATTTTTTTTTTTACAAAATTCTGAAATTTTTTATAGTAACATTGTATTACTAGACTAAAGCTATTTGCTTTAATACTTTTCTGGATAAAATAAGAATGCATTCTTATCTAATGTCTAAAGCAGTCTTATGTTTTTAGCAATTATACAACAGACAGTTGATAATTTCATGTTTTTCTGTGTTCTAGAGAGGAGTCTAAATGCCTTTTTTTTCTTATTTCCAGGGACAATAATTTTGACTACTTGGAGTTTCGCCTTTGGATTGGCCTGTGGTCAGCCTTCCTGTGTCTCATTTTGGTGGCGACTGACGCTAGCTTCCTTGTTCAGTACTTCACTCGCTTTACAGAGGAGGGTTTCTCTTCTCTGATCAGCTTTATTTTTATTTATGATGCGTTCAAGAAAATGATCAAGTTAGCAGATTACTACCCCATCAATTCCGACTTCAAAGTGGGCTATCAGACTCACTTTTCCTGTGCCTGTCTGCCCCCTGACCCAGGTGAGGACATCCTGCCTTACGTGTATGTTTGCAATGGGAGGCCAAACGTTCACCATGGTCTGCTCAGGAGAAGTTTTCTTCAAAAAAAAAAAACTATTTTGCTGCCTGAGGTGTCTTAGGTATGTGACTCAGGCGGTGAAACCAGGAACTTCGAAAAATGAATACGATTAATTGAATGCTTAAAATGAACTCAGGTTTCCAGTTGCAAGGAAATGTTGTGTATGCTTGTTATTCTTTATCTTACCCAAGAGGTGAGAAAAGCAGGTGCACACACAGGTTAATAGATACAAAGGCCAGGCCCACCGAGTCCTTCGAATTCCTGTATCGTATTTCACTGCTTCCTTATACTGATGTCAGGAACCCTTTTTCTGGTAAGGATGTTAGAACATCGTTTGTGGCCAGACAGCACAGACAGGGAGCTGACAGATGCAGAGAGCCTATGCCATTACATACAGGGCCAGTTCACATGATTTCTCAAACCCGATACGGCCTGTGGCACAATTGTTCCCTACCGCTGTGCTAGAAGAAACTTGTCTTTTTTTTTCCTGCTTTTGTTTATTGAGGGCACACCTGGCAGTGCTCAGGGCCTGTCTTTGAGCTCAAGAATCACTCCTGGCAGTGCTCAAGAGATTAAGTGCTGTTCTGTTGATACTGCCCATGCCAGCTGCATATAGGGCAAGGGCTCTATCCACTGAATTCTCTCTCTCCAGCCTGAGTTTTACTTTGTTTCTGTCAATTCATTTCAGTTGTTCAAGTGCTCCATATACTGAAACCACCCACAGATATCTTTCATATCTTATTTATTTCAGGAAGCATAATCCCTTCAGGCTCTATTCAAAGGTGCAATTTCATTTTTATCACAGAATAATATTCCACTAACTATACATACCACAGCTTCTTTATCCAGTCTGTCATTGGGTTCTTCTGATTCCACATTTGGGACATTGTAAGTAATATTGCTATGAACACAGGAAGCAAATGTCTGCTTTGTTTGTGGTTCTCCGTACAAATCTAAGACCTCATACATGCAACGCTCGTACCCTACCACTGGTCTACATCCCTAGCTCAATAATATCTATTTTCAATGAATAATTCTGAGGGGGTAAAAGCATTTAATGTTTAGAGTAAGCAAGCATGGTCCTATTGTAGCCTAGAATGCAAAATGGTTATGAAGATCTAAACAAGATTCTCTGAAGAACTTTTATGCTTATGGCTGACTATACCAAATTATTCTCAGAAATTTGGACATATGTATGCTTTCTTCTTTGCCAATTTGGTGAAGCTTAAGAAGGGGGGAGCAATATGTTTAATAATGAGAGAAAGGATAATATTATATCCTTTAATTGGGTCAGTTAGTAACATAAAAGATAGAGCTTTGTTGGACTTTGTACTCATGGACTCTTTTAGTCTCCTTTAAAGAACACATTAAAGGAAAACACATTACATTAAAACCAATAATTCAGAGCAAAATAGTGAGAGGAATAGGGTGGAAATAAAAAAATTCGGACACACAAAAAATGACATTAAGTCCTTAAAGCTTATTGTTGCCGGTTGTAGAGATAGATGGCTTATACCGTAAAGGATGTGGCTGGCACATATGTTGTTGCCTGTGTTTGTTGCCTCAGCATGACTGAGTCAGTAGGAGGCCCTGGTGAACCCCACATTCACCTGAAGTGAATCAGACTCTCAGCAACAACAGGCATGATCCCTGTACCAGCGAACAAAATAAAGACCATTATTGTTTAGATGTGGACTGTTTAAAATAATGTCATAATTTATAAATTACTTGGAGAAAAATAATCACTCAAGATACGATAAATATTATCAGTCAAATAAGTGAATAGCCTTGAATCCCTCCTCAGATAAATGCGAATGTTACATGATTAAATTAAATAGAGCTCCTTTTAAGAAAGTTGGTAAAGCCCTCTGTAATCATAAATCCTGGAATTCCCAAGGAAATTACTTCTAAGTAGTGAATAGCAGAAATATTTAACTCTAGGATTTTGAGCTTTGCTTTTTTTTATTTATTTCTATTATGTGTATGTATTTTTATTTACAGAAAAATCTGTAAGGTGACTTGTTAGGTAAGTCACCTGACTTATTGTTAATAAGTCTGAGTAATCAGACACCAAGATTTCCTCAAACAAAACAAAACAAGACAAAACAAAAATACAACTCAGCTGTTCTGAGGTTTGAGCCATTCATGAAACCAGGTGAGGGCTTTGTCAGCACACCTGTCACCAAAAAGATCTATCGTCAGCCCTGCCCACTTGAGACTAATAGACACTTGCATCCGTTGTTTTAATTGGATACTGGCAGAGAACAGAGTGTGAAACCAAGGAAGACATGCCCAAATGTGTTTTATTTTTGAAAATATAATGAAGATTTTGCTTAGGATTTTCTTCAAAGAAATCATCTTTGTTTGGTTTTTGTGTTTTTCTTTTCTTTTCTTTTTTTTTTTTTTAGAGAAGTGCTAGGAGGGGCTGGAGCAATAGCACAGTGGGTAGGGCGTTTGCCTTGCACGCGGCCGACCCGGGTTTGATTCCCAGCATCCCATTTGGTCCACCGAGCACCGCCAGGAGTAATTTCTGAGTGCATGAGCCAGGAGTAACCCCTGTGCATCGCAGGGTGTGACCCAAAAAGCAAAAGGAAAAAAAAAGAGAGAGAAGTGACAGAAAGAGTTGGATTGATTTTATTCCTGCATGGCAAGTGCAAACTGAAGTGTTGATAGCAATTCTTTTGGCCCACTTTTGTAGAAGGAAGTCAGTCCTGAATAGCTAAAGTAGGAGTCATCTCAAAAAATGCTTTTATTATTACTATTTATAGGTGATTTGCTCGAGCGGGCCCAGTAACGTCTCCATTGGAGACTTTGTTGTTACTGTGTTTGGCATATCGAATACTCTCGGTAGCTTGCCGGGCTCTCCGAGAGGGGCGGAGGAATCGAACTTGGATCGGCCATGTTGGCCGCTTGTAAGGTGAACGCCCTACCCGCTGTGCTATCGCTCCATAAAATAGTATAGCAGGACTTTCAAGTCAGAAGACTTATATTCAGTTTATTATTTGGTTAATACCCATAAGGTGACTTTAGGCAAGTTTCTTTTCCTAAGGCATTTAATTGCACTTTTCTATAAAATGAAATTAATAGTAGTACCTTCATTATATTATCCCCCATAAAATCCCCTATAAAGCCCCCATATAAAATCACTTTGAAGAGGGAAAATGAAGTACACAAAGTGCTTGGTGTATGTTCTGATAGCTTAAAAATAAATGATAATCACCATTACATTTTATGAATAATTGCTAATTGCCATTATTACTGCTATTGTTCATAGCCTTTATGGTTAGTAAGTAGCCATTAGGTAATCTTCATCCCTTTCTAAGCTACCATTAATGGGCATTTGGACCATTTTGCAAAAAGACTGTTCATCTCACGGGGTACTTTTAGAGTATTCCTGGGTAAGTGGTACTCATGAAAGATACTTACATGAGTACAACAGATTATTTAGACCAATAGAGATGAAATAGATATGAAATCTGTTTCTGGATTGTAAAATGACTATGGATTTTCGTTCTTGTTTTTGTTGTTGTGTTTTTGTTTGGGGACCACACCCAATAGTGCTCAAGGCTTACCCTTGGCTCTGTGCTCTTGGCTAGTTCTGGGGACCATATGTGGTGCAGAGTGTCAAACCCAGCTCAGCCACATGCAAAGCAAGGGCCCTGACCGCGGTACTATTTTTCCAGCCTCAAAAATGTATATTTTATGATGATTTATGTTTTGTAAAACCTCTTAAGATTAATGACTATGTATTTATCTCATAACCTAAATACTTATTGATAGCAGTTTGCATGGATACACCATGTTAGCAGAGTGAAAAATGATAGTGAGAGAATAAATACAGTTACATTTACACTAGAGTGAGTATTCTAAAAATAATAAAAGGAAGGCCTTTCATCACAACATGCTCTGCTAGTGAAAAATTTAGTCAATGAGTCAATAATATTTAAACTGGCGAATGTCTTTGTTTTTCAACACACTGGGATAGTATGTAATAATGAACCAGCAATTGCACAGATGGAGTTGTGATCCTGCAAACAGAGAAATGATTTTACAGGCAATGAAATAGGGGTCACTTACACACTAAAAAAAACTCTATTCATGGCCACAATAATATTGTAGAGGTTTTCTGTGTGTCTATGTGTTTGTATGTTTTGATGACAACTCTCTTCCTCTCTTACTGATTGATATCACTTTAATAAATTTTCATCACTTTGTTTTCTTTTCTCAATACGTCTTTTGCTTTTTTCCTTTCACATGCATTTAATTCTTGCTAATCTAGATTTTATACCTAGGTTTTCATTTACTGTCTATAGTTACAAAGCTGCAAGGGAAATTAGCTATGAAATCTGGTGTATGCATAACTTTTATGCTAAAATTCCCTTTTCTCAAAAATGGAATAGCTAGTAATTAAATTAGCAAGAGCAATAGCTGATATCCTTTATACTGTGTCTTCATGCTTACATAGCCAAGGTACGTAAGGTGATTCGGTACAAAGACAAAACTTAAAACTGACAAATGACCAGGCGAAGGTCAATTCACAATATCTTATTTCATCTCCAATATCCCAACTTAGAAAATTGCTAATATGATGAAGCATAAATAGTATGTGCTTTGGAGTATGGAGAGCGAGTTTGAAATTTAGCTTTAGTAAGCATGTGACCTAGAAGTTGTCTCTCTGACTGCTTAGTATTAACAGTTTCATAATTTCTTACCTGCTTTAGTAATAGTGTTTGCTCCTAGAGGTTACTATAAGGATTAAATGAAAATTTTTGAAAAATTTTCATCTAATAGAATCTAAATTAAAAATATTCTTGTCCCAGACAATTTAATGTTTGCATTGTGTTATTTTAAAGGAACTCAGACAGTGACTTTTCCAACAGAAGCATACGTGATTTCCAAAAGAATCAGTCTTCTGCTGGAAGACTAACCCCCCATATTTATA